CTCCTTGTTCCTATTCCACTGGCTAGATGAGCACACCCACGGTGAAACCCCCTCTGCAGAGGCCTGTACAAAGTTTCTGCCCCGCTTCAATCCTGTAAGGGTTCGGAGCGGTGCAGAGGTGATTGTCCCCCTGGGAGCATAGTGTCACCCAAGCAGCAGTCATGTGGCCATAGGGCAGATGAGGTCCATTCCCCATGGCCACTGGCTGACTCACTGGAGGGGGCATTTGGATGGATGTCGCTGGAGGTTCGCCTGGGGATGTGGCGCTGGGTGTGGCTTAGTTTTCCGTATTTCAAATATGGAGTCAGCTGTTTTTCGTGCACCAGCCACAGACATAAATAATCCCTGGGCACCATGCAGGGCAAGCGCGGATGAGACGTTAAAGCAAACCCAGGACAAAACTCCCTACACCGCTTCCTCTCCACCCATCTGTCCATCACCCCTCTTTCTGCTGCCTGCTGTCCAAGTACCAGACAACGACCAGTAACTAACCAGGCCTTTCTCCTCGGTGTTTAGGGTTTCTGTAGTACAGGTTGCTGTATGGGATGAGGCATTGTGTTATAATCACACACACACACGCACATGGATTCAGGTTGGAGAGCAATAAATGGGTTCTGTCTTGTGAACTTCTCCTCAATGCCCATCGTCTCTGCTCAGACACAGGGAGAGCCCCCTACACCGGGGACTGCACAATCTAGTGTTCCAAAGGCTTTGTCAGCTAGACGGCACCAGCCACCCTAGTGCTTCACCCTCAGTCCCTGGTTAGAAGTTCCTAGCCTTTCCCTAGGTCTTTTTTTACACAGCTATCAAAGTACTGCCATGCTAAATATTTGCTTTTTAGAATATGGTGTGAAGGCCAGTTCAGTCTAGGCAAAAATCAAATAACAGATCAGCCTGTATCCTCGAGGCCTGCATTCTGTCCCCTCCCCTGAAGAGTTTCTATATTAAACACAAAAACCCCACATTTCAGCACGTTACTCTCTTCACAGCAGAACGCTTCCTTGTGCTGACTCATGCACTTCCCTGTATCCCAGGGAATGGAGAGGGAACTGGTTTTGTCTCGATGTAAGGGCAATCTAGAAGCAGGTTGCTATATTTATTTAAATATCTGTAGTCACTTCTGCCCTTTTTCAGTTTAAATGACTTGGGATACCAGCACAGCTGATGAAACGCTCTCTCCGTGGAGTGATGCTAGGAACTCTGCAGGCATCTCTGCTTGCTTGAAAAAAGTACTGTCTTCCAAAGTGTAATGGCAAATTAGCACCATTTTCTCTGGTGGGATATGGAGGCAGGAAAGTGCACTGTAGATACAAGTGGTTTTCATTGCCACTTTAGCATCACTGGAAGCCTGATCTCCAGCTCTGTCTAGGTTGTTCTAGGATTATCTGCTCAGGTCCCCATCAGTGCACTGGGGATATCAGTCCTCACTGAACAGGTGAAAACGATTGTACATGGTAGATTTCTGGCACTTGTCTTGTAACCTTTGCAACAGGGTGGCCTGCCCTCTAAGGGCTGGAGGGTCTGGGGACCTGAGTCCTGAAAGAGGCACAGCTGAGAGGGATCAGGTGATCCCCCTTTAGAGGGCAGCTGGAAGCTGCAATGAGGGGTGGGGAGCAGAGGGGAGAAGAGAAAGGCAAGGCCAAGCCAAGCCTACTAGGAGTGAGCAGACTCCAGCAGAGTCCTGGGTCTAGGACAATTAAGACGCAAGCTAGGAAGGGCTAGGCATAGCCTGCTGAGATAGGAGAGACCCTAAGCAAGCAGGGGAGAGACTGCAGAGCTCTCCAGGCAGCAAGACCTGAGAGCAGGAAGAGCTAAGCAACGTTGGTGTGTTGGACTTTAACTTGGGACTTTGAGTTTATTTTCGATGAATAAACCCAGGCCCTAAGGAGGGGGCATTTTGACCACTGAAAAAACATGTGAAAGGGCGTTCAGGAGGCAGCTGACCCTGTTACAGTGTTTCCCTTAAATTACTGTCCCTGTTCGCTGCATTTCTACATTCCAGCTACACTGCTAATGGGCTGTTTTCATTGTGTTCGGCGCATGTAACTTCTCATGCCTAGTTCAAAGACTCTGTAATAGCAAAACTAATGCTAAAACTTCAGAAGCAAGAAGTTCAAAGGCCTTAAAATCATGGATTATTATAAATAATGGTTAAATTCCAGAGAGGTTGTACTCACCTATGCTAATAACCCTGAACTGGCCCTACACTTCAGCTTTCACATCAAAGAATCCCTTTGTTCCTTTTCACTCGGGTCCTAGATTATTTCCTGGAAACTCAAGGGCAGGAGATAGAGTGAGATGTAAAAATAACTAGTGTGCTTTTATTTTAAGTGCCATTAATCTTAATTTGAATGAAATGTTCAGGGTAATTTAGGGCTTCAAGCCACTTGTCACAGACAGAGGCTGTTTTGTGAAATATCGTTAAATCCCAGGAGCTGCCTGGGCAGCTCAGACCACTGGGGAGGTCAAAAGAACCACTCCCTCCCCCAGTGCATTTGGCCTGGCTGTGCAGTGCTGGGGAAATGCCTTGGTGGGCCCTGGAACGACCAGTTTACCCCCATTCCATTGATCTTATCATAGTTTCAGTGTCAGCGAAGGCAAATTAAAGCCCTTCTAGGCAAATGCGGCTCAGAAACAACACCATGTGACTTATCTAACCAGTACCGCGTGGCTGACAACTGCTCGGCGCTCTGCTAGTGAGTTAGTGTGTGCAACCCAAAAATGTTTGCTGTCGGATTTAGAATAATGCAAATGCAGGGAACTACATTTGGATCTGGGATATTCTGTGAGCAGAAAGAGGCACTGAATGTATTAGAGAAGTTGTTATTCACCCCGTCTAGTCAAATGGTAATAAAATCCCATGCCCCATTGCCTAATTCATCCAGGCTGTTTTCCTCTGACTGACCTCCAATGGTCATAGATTGCATATGTTGATTATAAGTTGCATAAAGTGAAATTTCCTTGTATTTGTCGGAATTTACTGTCCTTGAAATTTCAAGGAATCACTGTTGTGATGGATCTGAATATATTTAACCCTTATACAAAAAAAATCTATATCTGAGCAAAATCTGCATTACACTATTGAAAGCTTCGGTGGCTCTAATTTACCCCAGATACTGGGAAGCTGCAGGAACAGGGTGCTGCCAAAGACACTTCTGCCCCCTCCCCTCAGCTATCGCTGTGATACGAGTCCTGTGCTTGGCGTGGTGAACTTCAGCGATAACTTTGCACGGCTGATTTCACACCATTTTTCATACACTTTAATTCTGATTATAAAAATGAACCTGGAAGTAGCTTTACACCCATCCGTGCTCACCTCTGTCCGTCACGACTCCGTTTAGCCTGATGCAGTACGGCGGGGGAGGAGGTTTTGTGTACTAAAATCCTTGATGCTTTACAAAATCCTGTCTGTGTTCTACAGCAGTGCAGATCCGACTGTGCCCTGGGCTTTGTCTGACAGATCCCTTCTTTACTGACGCTCACTCTGTGTGAAATCGTAAAGCGCTCACTTGAGTTCTATGCCCCTCTACAGCAGTGCAGATCCGACTGTGCCCTGGGCTTTGTCTGACAGATCCTTTCTTTACTGACTCTCACTCTGTGTGAAATCGTAAAGTGCTCACTTGAGTTCTATGCCCCTCTAGTTCCACTAATGGTCAGAAGAGAAAGCAGGACTTTTGTGGACCCAGATGGGCCCCTGGCTGGCTCTTAGCACAGGGGTGGCTTTCACCCTTCGAGGATTCATGCTCACAAACCCAGGCTTTTCCAATGATCAGTGATATTGTGGGTGCCGTGCAATCAAACGTGACTGCAGCTGACAGGGCAGGAGCCGGAAAGCACAAGAAAAATCTCTGTAAATAGCTCAGTGAAACCATGAGACGACTGAGTCTGTCTATCATTTTCCTTGAGACCAGTGTCTGAAGCGGCACTTTTATAATGGCTAAGCAGTGTGTAGGTACTTGAGGGCCACACAGGAACGCAGGCGCTTTCATAGCTGATGTGGCTGATGTCTGCAGCTGTGAAGGAGTCAGTCACATTTCGAACACATTCCCCTATTCTAACAATAGAAAAGATCTCATCTGTACTGTGTTTAACCTTAAGTTTGGAGGATTTGGACTCCAAATGTGCTTGTGAGATAGGAGTGGGTTTTGCATTACATTTCTTAAGTAACGCGTTTTAAGTACCTTCCCTTGCAATCACTGCTTTCGTGGGAAGTGTTTATTCTGTTTGATTTTACTTTATGCTACATTTTATGTAGCTGTTCTGCCACAGACAATTTTACCCTGAGGACTACAGCAGAATCAGATAAATTGTCTGAAAGAGAGATTTATTTATGACCCATCTCCACAGCTAAACTCTGGGGATGTAGCTTTGACTAATCTTTTCTGTCTTTTCCTTTGCCTAACTTTTGCCAGAAGCTGGGAATGGCGGACAGGGGATGGATCACTTGGTCCTTGCCTGTTCTGTTCATTCCCTCTGGGGCACCCGGCATTGGCCACTGCAGCCATTGATCTGACCCAGTCCGGCTGTTCTAACGTTCTTAGCACAAGAGTGTATTGGCTGCATTGTCTAAACCAAACAGTAGTTTTATGTGATTAGAAGGTAGGAGATCAGCTTGATTAGGCGTCTGTCCTCCATTGGGCATGCCGTACAGTACAGCATGACAATAGCAAGGAACAACAGCACAATCAATCTCTTCCAAGTAAACCTATTGGCTGATGCGGATTGTAAAATTGTAGCAGGTCACAGAGACGGAGCTACAGCAGTACACTCGTTATGAGCAAATGAACCTTTCGAACCACTGACTTTTAGCGAAACGGACTCAAAGAGAAGCACTGAATTGAGCTGTGAGATAAGGCTCTCCGGGCTTGGCAAAAATCTCAGTGTCAGTCAATCAGTGCAGGGTTTGGGCTTTGCTCTGCCATGATCAGAATGTTTGTGAGTGCGGCGGGGTGCTCAGGCAGCCGCCGGTCTCTCCAGGGGTCGATTTACTGCAGTTAGGTACAGTGCATAATGTCATGCCCAGAATTTTCAATGCATCTCTTTTCCCTCCCTCTCTTGCAGACATTAACTCAGAGGGGAAGAATGCCCCTTCAAGTTCCTACCCACTCGGCTCTGACGAACTCCCAAACAACACGACTGGCAAAGAGAAGGGAGAGCCCCCCCACACCACAGCTCACAACCTTCTTCAGTCAGGAGAAGACTTCTTCGATTCTGGGACTGAGAAGATGACTCCATTGCCTCACAGAGATGTTCTACAAGAGCCAGCTTCTGCCCCTGAAGCCCATACAAAACAAACTTTCCCTTCCAAGAAGAAGCCACCTTCTCTAAAGCAAGTAAACACCACAAGGAAGCATCTGAGACCCCAAACTACCCCAGCAATGCTTCAGAGAGCTGCCTCTCAGCCAAACCTGTCACGCCCCAGGTCCTTCACCTCTGCTGAAGAGCCTCATGCGCTGGGGAATGGGATTACTATGGCTTCTGAAGCCAAGCAAGCAACCCCAGAGCTGCCATTGTGGGGTGGCAGGAGAGGAGGCAGTGGCACAACCAGCCAGTCTCCACTGCAGATTTCTCCTTTTACGTTACGACCTTCAATCCGCCAGCCCACTTCCCAAAGCCCAGAGACAGTAAAGCAGCCTGGGCCTGACGCAGCTGCTGTAGAAGGCGATACAATCGGCCCCAGTGTTAACAAGACAAGCAGTGCAGAGAACGAGATGAATGGATCTGCTTCCGAAGAAAGTCAAGAAACAACCACTTCCACCATCATCACGACCACAGTCATCACCACCGAGCACACGCCAGGTAAGCCCCCCTCTCTGCACGGCCACAGCCCCACAAACCCCGAGCCGCAGGAGGAGGAGGAGGGTGGAGGTGCCAGGCTGTGAAGTGAGAGAGGACACGCTTCCTGTGTCTGCAAACGCAGCGTGCGCTTTTGGAGCTGCCCAAGAGCTTGCACGTTTCATTGGTGTCAAAAATCTGCACCAATGCAATCGTGTCGCCACGTTCAGGAGACAGCTGCACCTGGCTCTCGTACGAAAGGCAGCCTGGCGCGTAATGCAGGAGATGGAGTGGGAGCCAGCTAGCCACGCAATGGCATAGACACCGAGATTGTAACCCAAAGTCAAGTCTTTAAGGTATCCTTGGGGATCAGGAAGGCTGTTCTAGTGGAACCAGCAGAACTTAGTGAATGTGGAGCAGGAAACTGAGGGTTTAGAATAACCCAGGCTAAAGCCAAGGAGGAAGTCTCTGCTCGCAAGGAAGTGCCTGGCATGGGCCAGCTCCATCCGCTGAGCGAGCAGAGTTGCTCCAGCTCACGGGGGTTAGCTCTCTTCTCTGCTGCGTGAGGGGCCCAGGAGCCAGAGGCCATGGGCTGCCAGCAGGGATGTACGTGGTGATATCAAGGGGTAGCCCACGGCCGGGGAAATAGGTTTCTTACATAAAACCAGGGATTTTTCCATCTGTCACGGGAGGCTTGACTCACCGCAGGGACGGCGCCGCCTCCTGTCACGGTAGGGAATTGCTCCTCAGGTCGACGCCCCGGCCAGCAGCTACTCTCTGAGCCTGTGCCCCTCTCGCTCCAGGAACCGCAGCATCTTCTGTGTGACTCAGCCCTCCGGCCAGGTCCCTATGTACGTGGTTTCCCCTTCCGGGGACGTGTATCAAAGTCCCTGCTCACCAGCCGTCTCTGTCAGTCCTCCCGTTCCCTGCCGCAGGGGCTGCTCCCTCAGTGGCTGGCAGGGGAACCCAGGCCTGTTCTCTACTCCAGGTTCCGGTTCGGGCCCTCTGAACCGCAGCCCAGGTGTGGTTCCCTCCTGCACCCTGCTGCCTTTCCCTGAGCCTCTTCCTCACCTCCAGGCCCTCCCCCACGCCTCCAGGTTTGCCAGCCCGAGCCCTGGGCTCCTTGTCCCTATGGCCCCCCAAGTGCACCTCCCTCCTCCTGGGAGTGCCTGCAAACTACCTCCCTGCAACCCCTCTGCCGCCAACTTCCTGCCTTTATAGAAGTCCCGCCTGTCCCCACACAGGTGAGCTTTCCCCAATCAGGGCTTTCCTCCCAGGCTTAATTCTCCCCTATTGCATCCTCACTGGCTGATTGGGCCCACTCGAGCTCTTGCAGGGCCAGTGTGGGCAGTGCAGCTATCACCCCATCAGCAGGGCTGTCTGGGGCCCAGCCCCAGTTAACGGTCCCTGGTGCTAGTGAGAGTCGTGTTGTGTTGGGAGGCGGGAGGTGGCGCTTCATTGTGCACCTGTACCTAACCTTCCTCACACACCTCACTGCTGTTAGGATGTTACTAGCCTGCTGTCCTCCCTCAGGGCCAAGCTCCTGCCAGTCAAATAACAACCAAACTTCCAGGGTGGCTATTAGAAAAAGCTAAGGTCTATGGGCCTGATCCAGAGTCCTTCACTGGGAGTCGTTCCATTGACTGCCAGGGGCTTTGGACCAGGTGTCTAAATGAGCCGTGCTATGCGGTGCATTTAAAAGGTGCAGGTGCTGTGCTCATTCCAGAAGTGTTCGGATGGTTGGCAAGGTCTATCTGGCAGGAAACACAGTGTTGTGGCCTGCAGTGAACCACCTCAGTCAGGGTCACTGTTTGTTCGTATGCAGAAATGAAACAGGAGTGACTGCCGGAATCTGACTCCAGAACAGACTTTGATACTGTCTCAGTCTCTGTTTCCCTGTCGCTGGTAAGTCGCCTGCAGAAGGGAACCTGCAGGGATGGTCTGAGCTTTTTTGGTCAGAGATCTCTTTTAAAAAAAGAAAAAGGGAAACAACATTTTTTCTTAGCTCTTTCCCCGTCCCAAACCCGAAGTGTGGAAGGGGAGCTGGGATGGCCCACAAGGCTTGTTCCTCAGCCAGTGGGAAGCTCCCCACAGTTCATTATTAATTCATATGGCTTTGCCTCCAGTTATCTGCAGCGTGAGCTTCTACGACCCAGAAGGCTACATTGACTCGACGGACTATCCCCCGCTTCCTGTGCCCAACTTCCTGGAGTGCACCTATAACGTGACAGTCTACACGGGCTATGGAGTTGAGCTCCAGGTAAGAACACGGTGGCACTTCGAGGCTGCTGTTTCCTCAGTGAGTCAGTGCCTGAAGCTGCCATCATGTAATTAAAAAATGTTGTAGTTCTCGTCTTCCCATCTGTACCCATCGAATGAGCATCGCTCTCCTGGCATGTGCAGGGAGCTGCCGGGGACAGACTCTGCTGGGCTGGTTGGTGCTGGACACAAAGCCCCCGACTGCAGCTACTGACCGCATACATGGGCACCTAGGGTGACATTCGTCCCTCCACAGTGGGCCAGCATTAGCTGTATGCACTCTATAGGTCCCGCTCCAGCCCCAGGGAATCCCCACCGGTCCCATCAGGCCGCTTTGATCCATGTAGACTAGGACAAAAGAAACAGCCTCAGCTCAAGTGTGTGACTCAGTGGCAGGCAAAGAGAGGGGGAGCAGGGGCAGAGATGCATGGTGGGAAATCACCCAGTTCCCCCTGCCTGAGGTAGCAGTGTTGGGTCAGCCTGGGGTCTGATCCTGGAATCTCAGACTCACTGTGTCAGGAAACGTCCCACTCTGCAGAAGGGTTTTTCTAGGATTCTACCCAGCAGCCACTGCGCTTGTTCTCTGGGGCAGCAAGGAGAGGATCGAACACATACACACAGCGTGTCGGAAGGGCAACACTTGTAATGGAACATGTGTACATTAACGTAGATCCTGGCGGGCGAGCAGGGGCATAGACACAGTGCTGAAATCCTGCCCCTGAATGCAAGTGGCTTGTCAGAGCGAAGGAGCCCTCTGCCCATCCAACACCAGCCAGTCAGCCCCAGTTATGGTGATACTGTCACTAGCATATCTGCCATCCAAGGAGCTCAGAGTATTTAATACCTTGTCCTCCAGAGCACCCTGCAGCCAAGCTTCTCCATGCACTTTACAGCTACCAGCTCATTTACCGTCCCACCCTGCTGAGAACCAGCTCTGCTTCATTCCCAATTTACAGATGGGAAAACTGAGGCAGGGAGCAGTGAAGTGACTTGCCCAGAGTCACACAACAAGTCAGTGCCAGAGTCCCAGTACCCTAACCACGAACCCCACGCCCGGGTGAGCACACGCATCATAATGGTGTGAAGGTTTTACACGCCTCAGCCTGCAAGTAAGGCAAAAGTTTAGCAAAGACGAGGGCACTACGCAAACCGGTGGCTGAGTGTGCCTGCACTGTCACGTACCCCCATGTAAACAAAACGTGCTCCCACTGAAGTCAATGGCCCTGATTCAGGACACGTTTACCCTGGCTTTGCTTTTGTCAAAGTTTTCCCAGAAAATTAAAACTTTTTGGCAAAAAATCAAACCCAATTTTTTCCGTCCAAAGCCTGATTTGGAATGCTGCCGCAGTGCCTGGTGGGAGTCGCAGGTCAGGCACCTTGTGCCCCTGTTCTCATCTACATGGGAGTCCCACGGCTGTGGTGGGACCTGGCCAGGGAGCCCCGCCCATAGGGGAGGTACCACCCTGCAGTATTTCCAAATCAAAATGTTGGGAGTTTCGCCAAATCTTTTTGACTTTGGGGTTTGTTTGTTTGTTTTTTCATGAAAAGTCAAAATTTTCCCAGAAAAGTAAATACTTTTTGCAAAAAGTTTAGCTTAGTTGAAAAGTCCGTTTTCAGCCCAAGAAGAATTCTGATAGACAAATATCAACTAGCCCTTGTTTCTATCGGTCCTGCTTCGGGCAGTTTTCACTTACCCTGGCCATTCCATCCCCCCCTCCATATAGAGCTCCAGGGTCACTCCCTATGTGCCAGCTGGAAGGGAGGCTCAAAACAACATGAGCACTGGACCTACATTTCAAACTCATGTCAATTATCACCCTGGCATTCCAAAGAAGCCTCCGTGCCCTAGACAAACAGAAGCAAAGTAGTAGGATAAACTCCTGCCTAACATGCAAGGTGAACCATATACACAACTTCAGTTGCAGCCCTACACATAACATTCATCAGGTGGTGGCTGTAGTTTACCATTTATTGACCACCAGTGCTGGCCAGCTGTATATGTCACTTCCCTACTGCTCACCGGCCATATGGTCATATAGATTATTTTGCCTGGTGCAGCTGCTACTACAAATGAATCTGACATGGCAAAAACTCCAGATTCTTTCTAATCCATGTCACAAATAAACGATAGAAGGGAGCTGGTACAGTTTGATCCCCAGATAGATCAAAGCGTTAAAATACCATCCAATTAACTTTAACACAGGGACAATGGCAAGCAATTTATTCCCCAAACAGACATCCTGCCTTGATAGCTAGGAGAAAAATAAAAAGCATTCTCTCCAAATTGACTGATTGCTCCACCTTTGTTCCCCAACCCTTAATGGGATGGGCTCTAAATGGAAGCGCCCATGTGTCAAGAGAACCCAACAGTTCTGCTATTCTTAGGGGCAGAGCTGACTCCCTAGGAATCCCCCTGTTATATCCATGACACAAATTCAGTAACAGGAAAATGCACTATTTCCAAGTAAGAACATGTGTGCGCCTCAAAGCGCAGCACACGCCTGGGGCCGCACCTTTTGTTCATGTGCAATACTGGCCCGTGTCTGATAGCCATCAGAAGAGTAAATCACGTTCACCAACATGGACCATAATCCTCAGGCGCAGAAGAAATAAACATGCAGCCACACGTGACAAGAGAGTAATGGTAACAATGTGTAGTATACACCCAACGGCCCTGATCGGGATCCGGACGCCAGGGTGCTAGGCGCTGTA